TTTTTCTTTTTTTTTTCATTAAAACTGCGATCTTCCTGGTTCCTGTCTGAGGAGTGATTTCAGCTGCAACCGGCACATGCTGAGTGTCCGCTGAGACGCTGAATTTGGCGTAGACCCCGTTTTCGCCACTTCCTCTGGCCCTGCTCCCGCAGGAGGAAGGGGCCACCTCATTTCCCCAGGTGCAGGGTGTCCGGTTCCCCACTGGCTCCCAGTCCTGCTGGGCTGCACTTCCTGGTAGGTACCCCTCTGCTTGTTTCTTGTAATAGGACTGAATCACTACGCTCCCACTTTGCTGACCATTCTCTTACTTCTCCTTTTCTTAGTTCAGAAACGGACTCTTGAAACGAAGGTTCTCTGTGTGGAGGTCAGCAGGGAACACTCATCAGCATCAGAGCCGGGGACTTGCGAACACCTCTCAGGAGGCGTATTGACAACAGGCAGGTCATCTGCCTGCCCCTGTCCTCCCCGCTCCCCTCCCAGCGGCCCCCTAAGTGTGATGTCAGACACCTGCAGGCTGTGGGCAGGGAGGAGTCCATGGAGAGGCCTCAGGTGCTCCCCAAGCCCCTTCCCGCCCCGATTCACCAAATGTGTGTGTGTGTTTGTAGATTTTTCTCTGGTGAGTCAGCAGTTCTCGTCAGATTCCGAGACAGGAACATGAGCACAGAGGCAAGCATCATGGCAGCAGGTAGGAACAGGAACAAACTGCCTGCTCGAGGCCGCTCTGAGGGGCTGCAGACCGGGTGCCGCTGAGCCCACAGCACCCAGCACGCTGCGCTCAGAGTCCCCGCATGTGCTGGGATCGCCGCTAACTGTGCAGGAGCGAGAGGGACAATGCCCAGGGCTGCGGCCTGTGCTCCCTGGTCAGGCCCAGGAGAGAGATCAACCTGGCCCGGGGAGGGGGTGGCAGCGGGCAGAGCGCACAGGAAAGAAACAGGCTCACCGATAAGACAGCAGGATGGGACGCCTGCCCCGGAGGCCTAAGAGGTCAGATGGTGGCTGACAAAATTCTCCGAGAAATAAATGGAAAGAAGGGGAAGCAGAGCAGAGACAGGAGAAAGCGGGAGGGATCCCTGCAAGGGACCCAGGACACCCCCGGCCGCAGTCAAGCGGGCAGAGCGCACAGGAAAGAAACAGGCTCACCGATAAGACAGCAGGATGGGACGCCTGCCCCGGAGGCCTAAGAGGTCAGATGGTGGCTGACAAAATTCTCCGAGAAATAAATGGAAAGAAGGGGAAGCAGAGCAGAGACAGGAGAAAGCGGGAGGGATCCCTGCAAGGGACCCAGGACACCCCCGGCCGCAGTCACAGGCTCTCTGAGGCGGGGCGG